GCCATGGAACGTACAGATCAAATTGCTATGGGGACAGCGTCAAAATGGCAATAATGACAAGTGCGGCTCCGGGTACAGTAGCAGTTTCTATGGTAGCTTTGTGCGAGAAGATAACTTCAATTTTGTATGTGCGTGTGAATTTATCAGATTTTGTTGCGTTTGAGGAACGCTAGTTAGCCCCAGATTTTATTTTACTTTATTAGAGTCATAAAACATTCCTAAAGCTTTACCTGACGCTATAAGAAGGTGAGAGCTTTTTCATGTGACCATAGAAAGTGCTGCTTACAACACATGTCACTTGATTATGTTGTAACTTGCTTTGTTCAGAGAACATCGCAAGTATGAATTAAAAAATCAGCTCGACGCGCAAGGTTAACCACGTGACTCTATCCACGAGGTTCGCAGGTTGCCATAATAATTTTTGACTGAGAGGTTGTTTTCAGTCATTTTCATATGAGATATATAAGCGTTGACCTTACTAGCATCACACAATTAGTACATGAAAGATCACAATACCACCTCATTCACAAAAACAAATATGAGTATTTTTTGTTTTTTGCAAGCCCTTTCTATTTCGCCACCAGATTTAGTTCTCATAGCGAATTTTATAGAGATTTTCTTGTAACTGAACACTCTTGGGCAACTGCTACAGGTGCACATGCATAGCATTCCTTGTGCTAAAAACCGTCAGTTTTTTTTTAGAAAAACGCCCTATACTATGCAGGTATGCTTTCTCCGAAGCAGCGTGGTACCAGGTGCACATCTGTAAGACATTACGGGTACTTTTTGATGTTGTGACTGATAATGATGAAGATTTGGGGCAAGATGAAGAATTAGGGCTAAGGATCACGACTAATAGGTATATATGTCTCAACAATTAAGACTAATGCGTTGGAGGCTTTCAACAATGCACTCATTACGCGATTTGTAAAGTGGGACGGCTGGTTGTTATATTTCTCTTTCAATATACTCTGTTACGAAAGCCCAATGAAATTTTTCTCGAGATGAATTCTGTAGAGGTTCTGTTTGCCAAACATTTCCGAAAAGTGGCCCGGCTCTTTGATGGAATGCTCGGCGGCGACGCAGAGGGCGCGAGCAATAGTGGGATGGGACCCTGGTTGTGGCGGTGACAATCGTAGCACCGAAAAAAACTGCCCTTGTGAAGTGGGCATACCACTAGAGGAAACAATGAAAATAAGTCCCGGGAACACCATCGCATTCTTCCCTTGAGCTGCCGAAGTTCAAGCGTCAATAAGCTTTAATGTATGAATCGCTCCTATGTTCACCGATTCTAAATAAAAATTCACCCATTTAGATCTTGACTGACTCAATTCCCCTCGGGTACGTACGTCTATGCTCTCTTTCTTCCTACTGAAGCCACTACTTTCACAATTCATTGACACTTTGCTAGTTGTCATTACAGACTATTCGTCCTTAAATCGCTCGTTTCAAATTTGAATGTGTTTAATTTAATTCAAGTTGCAATCATTCAATCTTCAGACATTTTGTAGTAGATTTACTTACAGTTCTTCCCACCATTTTACTTGATTGAATTTTGCGTCTATTTAGAGTCACTTTAACGTATACACAGAATAACACTAAACTTTTTAAACTAGTTTTATTGTGTGCTTTTAACCATTTTGAATCGTTACTTCTGTGTGAAATACCGGTTGAATACTGGTACTGTTGATGCCGTACATGACTTACGTGTCATGATTATCATGTTTGGATGTGTCGTTTACTTTCATCATCTATTCACGTCACGTCATACCAAATTTAGTATATGTAGAGCTAGCGAAACGGCCGTGAGCACGCTATGAGCGCAGTATGCTGTCATGTTTTTACACGACACGCTTGTCAGAAATATCACGTTGGCAGCAGTCATATATTTACGTCATCTATTGACGTCACGTAACACCAAGTTTGGTATATGTGGAGCTAGCGAAATGGCCGCGAGCGCATCTTGAAGGCCCCAATATACAACAATGTAGCGTTAACGTGCGGGCCCGCTGGGAACAGCGACGCTACTTTAGGAAAACGCGAGCACTCTATATTCTGACACCAGGCGGGACCGGCGCGACTAGCGTCCATCGGCGGGGTCCGACGGCCACCGGCGCGAAATGCGACATGCACCATTTCGCGCTGATGCGCTACCCAGAAACCCTGCGTCTTTCTCTTTTCGTGACGGAAGGACCCCGGACGCGCTGAAAAGCGCATGCGTCAAAGCAACGCAGCGCGGCGCATGCTTGTGAGTATATATGTTGCACGACCAGTGCCTGGCGTGACAATGCCAGCGTGACGCGAAGAAATGAACGCCGGCGAGCACGTGCACCGCGTCAGGTCGAAATGTATTAGCACCTTGAGTATGACTTGTAGTCATGTTTTACATGGCACGCATCTCATGAACATGTTTCCACTGGTCACATACCTTCGTCATCCATTGACGTCACGTAATACAAACTTAGGCATTTGTGAAGCTAGCGAAATGGCCGCGAGCGCATCCTGCATGAGCGTGGCGAGTAGTCATGTTGTTACATGACGATTGATTTGTGGGGTTGAACGTCCCAAAACCACCATATGATTATGAGAGACGCAGTAGTGGAGGGTTCCGGAAATTTCGACCACCTGGGGTTCTTTAACGTGCACCCAAATCTGAGCACACGGGCCTACAACATTTCCGCCTCCACCGGAAATGCAGCCGCCGCAGCCGGGATTCGATCCCGCGACCTGCGGGTCAGCAGCCGAGTACCTTAGCCACTAGACCACCGCGGCGGGGCGTTGTTACGTGACACGCATGTTATTATTTTCATGTTAGGGGTCGGTCACTTGTGTTTGCCATGCAATCATGTCATACCATACCAGCGTTGCAACATGCCATGTGAACGAAACAACCACAAGATCTGCCAAACCACGAAATGTAGATCATGACATTTATGACATATATCAATTTCATGTTATCGCTATAGTTCAATATGCTCTTATATACTCACAATATGCCACACCAAGTTTGTTATCAATACCATTATCGAAACAGCCGAGATAGCTAAAAGTCATAGGCGGTTAGATAGATAGATAGATAGTTAGATAGATAGTTAGATACATAGATAGATTGATAGATAGATAGATAGATAGATAGATAGATAGTAGATAGATAGATAGATGGATAGATACATAGATAGATAGATAGATACGCTCAAAGTCGCCAAAGTTCGGTAAAAAATGCTTCGCATTTATTACGTAATGAAAGTCGGCTCTGGTGCTAGAAAGTAAGTTGCAATGAGGGGAGGTTTCACCATCTGTATATAGGCAGAAAAGGAAAGAAGTCGTCACTGTGGTCGCGTGGAATAGGTGCCAAAATCCTGGTCACTTTTAAAGAGAGATTTATGTGGTGGGGGATACGTTAGGCGTGAAATCAGGTAGAATAGCGTGACATCGGGATAGCTGAGGATTCTATCTCTGGCACCTCAAAGCGAAGGCAGGTCGCTGGAGCCTGGTTGCGAGTGCTTGGGCTTGGGTAGGCTGCCATAAGATGTCGCCAGGATTGGTACTGTAGTGGCCTGACATCAATCAAGTGTTGATGTCGGTAGGTGCGGCATATGAAATGGATATTCATATCAAAATAGCATACCTTGTCAGTAGACATCCGTGCTTTATGTGTTTTATAATGTTTCACTTAGGAACCTACTATAATGATTAGATTTCTTCTTATGTAGCTGTCCAACAACTCTACCCGCAATTAATGGTCGAGTGTGTTCAACGTTTTCTTGCAATTTCCCTGTCGTTGACTAGGCTTCATCCCTAATTTATTCTAGAATTCTCGTTCGTATGATATCTACAATCAATAAACACAATAACAATTTCTCATGCCACCATTCAGATTTTAACCTAAAACAAAAACTGCGATTCAATTCCCGCTAACGCATCACTTGTAGTGGGTAGCGTGAACACGCTTTTGGGTCTAATTAAATCGCAAATAGTAGTCGTGGCCATTTGAGAACTGCCGCTGTCAGGCTGCTTGTGATTCACAACTAAAGACGCTGAAACGTTTTCATGAGAGGGTTCAACGATGAAGAGAGCTTGCTGATTATTGTTCAGCACTTCAGTACGTCACTTCAATTTATGCACATTTAGTAGATAATTGTATGGGTTGCTGTGAAACTTAGACTTGCAGAAGGCCTTAATTATCCTCAGTATTCAAAAATATTGACAATTGCGACAAACACAAGCTAGAATGAAGGTAGGAGCTGAAAGTGTTCAAAGCGATGCGTCCGAAAATGATGTGTGACTATGAAAGCGCACAGTGTCTTCAAATTGCCGGAGCTTTCACATGACGGTTTCCTATACAGAGTTGAATCTAGGGACCGTATTGAATTTTGCACACGAAGCTTTTTTACTTTTTTTAGACAAACATACCGTAAGCACGAGAGGACGGGTGCGTTTTAACTCACTATTTGCTTTCGAAAAAACAAAAAACTAGCTTCCAGTCACAAAAAGTGCTCTTTACAAGTGTACGAATGTGCAAACTATCCCTTCTCGAATTGCAAAAAAATGGTAGATCGCACGTATTATTACAGTCGATGTTATGCGAAACCTGCGCATGGAAAGTGACTGTTGTAATTTTTTTATTGACTGAAATGTCATGATGTGGCGCTGAAAATACATGCACAAGTCCATGAACATGAATAGCATTGGGAAAAACGTGCGCCCTCCGTTAAATAATCGCAGCGCTGCCGCCTCTAGAGGCGTAAAGATCATTCAAGCTTGCTGCGCTCAAACTGCTGTTATATTTGATCAAACATGAGCTTTTTCTTCCTCAATCAAAACTAAGTTCAACTTTTTTAACAGGACTACGTATATTAGTGGGCAGTTAGTCTTTCTTCGAATGGCTCCTTTATATAGCCGAGAAGCAACTGTAATCTTTGACCATTGTCTGCACCTCACCAGAATGACACCACAAGAGGTCGCGATGGGTGCTGACCGAGTGCGACCCGTTGTCTGGCATACTTACCTGGTGCCGGGGTAACCATGGTCAACATGGTGGGGCCCCCAGACAAGGGCGCGGGCATTGTACTGCGCTCGTCTTGACCCCTGCCACTACCCCAAACTGGGGCGGATGGCGCAATCAAGTTTAGGTAGTGGGGGAGTGCGTTCGCCCTCTCCCTCTATTTGCAATCTAAATGATGATCTATACACCCGTTAAAACACTTGCGCGGCGGAAGATAATGTAAGCTACTGAGAACCAGATTCTCCGATGTGGCTTCCTAGTGTCATTTTCTTGCTTTAAGTGAGAGCTACTCATAGCCCTTAAAGCATACCTACCCGTGGCTGCATCTGGAGAAATAAATGGATAGCTTGCCATACTCTGCAAATCAGCTTTTCTGTAAGGCTTGCCTTCCAACCAAGAACCCCTTTTTATTGAAATAGGAAATAAAGGAAGGGGTTTTTGTCACCGTTACTTAGTTTGGGCTACCCCTTTCCACCTAATTGGTACAAATCAAATTATGAAAAAAGAACAATACATATATACAGATATACAGTCCTACGTGGGTGAGAGCAAAAGTTCTTCTATATGGCAGAACAAATACGTAGACGACACACTCACATTTACTTTTGTCCACTCTGTATTTGTCACAAATGTTCGTTTCTTCGAAGAACTGTTGCAGCACCTTCTTTGTTTTGCCGTTTGTTTTGGATGGCCATGGACCTAGTATTTTATTCAACCCGCATGCTCGCTCAGGATCTAACCTATGCAGTTCTTGTTCGAGTCGCCTTCGGTGTGTGTCGTGTTTGGGACAGTCGAGCAAGAGGTGACAAATATTCTCGTCGTCGTGGCCGCATGAACATGCTCACGATGTTGCATGATGAATACGAAGTAGGAAGTGCTTTGTGTAAGCAGTTCTGTGTCGTAGGCGATGAATGAGTGTGTCGATACGTCTTGGGAGGTCACGGTCTAATTGCATTCAAGATTAGGATCAACCAAAATATAGGATCGATTCCTTTGTTTTGACTGTGAACCAGGTAGACAGGCATAATTCACGTTTTGTTGTTCCTAAAATTCTATTAGCATCACATTGAGATACCGGATTGAGGCACGTTTGCGTAGAATTATGAGCAGTTTTCGCCAACTCATCCACCATTTCATTTCCCTTAATTCCGCAGTGACTGCGGACCCACTGAAATGCCACTCGATGATTCGACTTCGTAGCTTCGAGAGCTCTTTTAGTATAACGTATACTATACGCCCATCAATGTGTCTTTAAGTGGCACTTTTCACACATGCTAGTGCTGCAGAGAGTCTGTAATTACCACCCATTTTCTGGTGTCGTTGACAGCTTAATAAGCTTATGGCTAGAAAAATTGCTACGAGCTCCGATGTTGTTGAAGAGAGAGGTGGCCCAACCAACATGCATATTCTTCGTGCAATTCCGGAAGTATGAATGCTGATGTCGCTGTCTCTTTGGTGACAGAGCCGTCAGTATACACGTGAGAGTATCCTTGGTACCTCTCAAACAGATGATGTGATGCCAACTGCTGAGCGGCAATGGTTGGCACTTCATGTTTGCATGGTGACGTTTCAATAGTTGGTAGCTCAAGCAGCCATGGGGGGTAGTTTTGGTCCAGTGGCCAATGTGTCGACACAGGAAGCCGGGAAATGTACTGTTGGTACACATGGTGTATTTGCGCTCCAGCACGGTTCACGATGTTGGATATTAGCGGATGGGAACGGTGTTGCGTGACTAGATGAAAGAGGTGCCGGCATGTGTCCACATTTCCAATTACTATAAAGTAAGGTTCTCTTGCCCCTGCCAGTGTCAAAGAACTCGATGTTGCCTGTGGAACCCCCAGACATATGCCGTAAGCTTCGTGCTTGTAACAGCTGAAGTTGGTGTAGCGACGTCTGAGAGTTGTTGTGGAGAACTGGCGCAGAGTAGGCAATTTTCTGTCAGACTAGTGCACATGAACGTGGAAGAGAGACGCTGATGTACCGCCCCATTTTGTTGCCGCGATGCAACGTATAACATTTATGGTGCTGTTCACTTGATTTTCTAGATCAGCAATATGCTGACACATCGGAGCTGGCTATCTAAGGTAACGCTAAGGAAGCGATGTTTTCATGCGATTTCGATTCTCTGGCCATCCACAAAAAGCTTCAAGTTTTTCACTCTTTTTCTCGTGAATGGCAGAACTACAGATTTGGCGTGAGAAATCTGCATGCCTCGCTCTTTGAAGTTAACACTTATTGCGTCTAGTCCTTGTTGAAGCCGATGTTCGATCACTTCCAGTGATTTGTGAGACGTCCATATGCATATGTCATCTGCATATAAGGATAGGTTCAACTCTTCGGGCAATACTTCTGGAAGACCTGCCATTGCAGCATTGAAAAGCAGCGGACTTAGAACGCTTCCTTGGGGCACACCTTTATTCATGTTGAAGAGATCGCTGTCTCCGTGATTTGTTGAAATGTATATTTGTCTGTTACATAGGAAGTGGGCGATTCATTGAAGGATACGACCGTGAATCCCCAGTGAGGTAAGCCCGTGCAACACAGAAAGGTGACTCACAGAGTCGAAGGCCTTTTTAATATCTATGAAACGCCGCAACAGCCATGTTTCCACAGCTCATCTCATGTTCTACAAAGGTAACGAGGTCGAGGACGCAATCCATGGTGCATCGCCGTCGTCTTAAGCCAGCCATCTGTTCTAGAAATGAGTTGTTAGCTTAAATACACCACTGTATTCTTCTGTCAACCATTTTTCCATTAGTTTAGATACACTGCTAGTGAGGCTGACTGTTGCAATGAGTCAAGCGAAAGCGGTAATTTTACCAGACTTCAGTAGTGGGACGATTCTCGCGACCTTCCAACACATTGGCACGTACGCCTTCGTCCACATGTCGTTATATATCCGTAGAAGAACTGGCATGCCGTTTGGTCCTAGATTTTTCAGAACACTGTACGATACGTTGTTGGGACCAGTTGCCGCTCTTACGCGGGTTAGTGATAGAACAGTACGCAACTCTAGTAGAGAATACGTGTTATCCAGTTGAGACTGTGATAAAGTGTATGCATCTTGGATTTGCTGCTCTACAGAACTAGGCAGTGCAATAGTGTTGTGAACCAATTGCCCACTTCCAGTCAGCATTGTGCAAAACTTATTAGAAATATCACGTTCGGATAATCCAAGAAGGATAATCCAATATGGCCAATGCTCTGAATGGGTTTCGCTGGGACACTGGATGACTTAGAGAAGTGATTGTTTGCCAGATTTTTGGAAGAGGAGTAAATGGGGTCAATCAGTTGCAGAAATCATGCCATTTTTTCCGACCTAACTTTTGCATGTGTCTGTTAGATTAGATGTGTGTGGCCTGACTCTTCCTATAATCTTCAAGCCTCCCAGTGCGGCGATAGCAACGTTCTGCTCGCCTTCTACGAGCTCGTAGGCGCTCATAGTCTGCATCTACACTGGAGTGGCCTGCTGGGACAGCTGTAAACCTTGTCGCACGGGAGTAACTGCTTTTAATGCAGGACATAAATGTATCCAATTCATTGACTCCCATCAAGTTACGTCCAGTATGCTCACGAAATAGTTTCCAGTCAGTTAGCTTTGAAATCAACGTGGGTCGTTTGCACTTGCATTCTTGGGTGTTGCATAAGAACTGGATGATGATCACTCCCTCGTGTTTCGAGGTCTGTACACCAGTTCATATCTCGTGCAATGTCAGGAGAGGCTATAGCCAAATCTAGACAGCTGGCATAATTCTTAACTCTCAAAAACGATACTGATCCATCATTCAGTACAACAACACCACATCGATCAATGCTTTTTTCGAGTGTCATCCCACGTTATTCGGTATGAGTACTGCCCCACGGGGTATTGTGCGCCTTGAAATCTTCACAGATGTGAGCAGGTCCCTAGGCTTTACCCAATAGATGAATCAGAGATGATTCGGAGATGCGTGTCAATGGTTGAAAATAAAGACAAATTACGGTGATGGTAAGTTTCTGCAATGGAATTTTGCACCCAACAAATTCTGGCACGTCCGAGTCCGACGAGTATAAAACAAAAGAGGGTATGTCACGCCGTACGCATTACAGTGCCCTGCTTAAGCCTAGATTTCTTCTTGATGCATATGTTACATAGTTAGAAATACTAAAGGGAGGGCCAACGTTGGCTTCATTTAGACACAGAACGGGAAGCTATACTGAGCAACCAGCTTTCTAAAGTCTGCGCTTTTGGACCTAAGGCCATTGGCATTTTACTGAAACACAGCTGTGTTGCGGAAACGGTTGGTCATTTGTGAAGCCAATTTGCTATACAACAATTTTTTGTTGCACTGCTAGAGTTTCTAATAAAAGAACTGCGCTTACCTCTGGTAGGTCATTGGCCTGTGGAAATACACGCAGGATTGCCCTCGAACCAAGGAAGAGCACCGACATAACCATATCCACACCACTTGTTTTCGGTGCACGTTGCCGTTTCGCCTTTGGCTTGGGCGAGGTGAAAGGTGTAGACACTTGGTTATTCATTCATTCAATTTTATTTCCTTAAGGACCCCACTCGGGGGTATTACATAAGGTGTAGATACACAGAAAAAGAGAACATTTGAACACGTTAGTTTTCGCAGCATAGGTGATTTGTAACATTAGTCGCGAAGGATGATGGGCAGTTGACGGTATCTTGAGTTGCTGACTGTTTCGCTGTCCTGCTGTCGCTTGTCTGCTTTCGAACGCTTGGTGATCGTCCTCTACGGTTCGTTTTGGCTGTACTATTGTTTTGCTGAGCTGAAGCAAGCTTGGCTACCGTCGCATACGACAGTGGTGATGTACTATTTTGTGATTTTGAAGTCACAGGGAGTGGATGCGCAGTTTAGGGATTCGGACAAGGTGGTCCCTTTTTGGGACCTCTTCCAAGTAAAATTTCTTGTCGCTTTAGTCGATTAGCTGCCTTGTGTTTCGGACAACCAGCATATGACGCTACGTGGTCTCCAATGCAATTGGCACATTTGGGATGATTTCTTGATGTACATTCTTTGTAATGATGTGCTCCTGCACAAATTTTGGATCGAAGTTGTCCATGGCACGATTTGGCAACATGTCCATATCGTTGACAGTTGTAACATCGCGTAGCGGGCTATAGGTACCCTTCCACTGGATGACTTGTGGTT